TAATAATAATAATAAAGCAAATACCTTGGAGAAGCTTAGGAGAACAAACTAAACTATTCTTAGTCTGGGTCATGAGTTAGCAGGTCTTTCTCTTCCTCTTTCCTGGAAACTCACATATCACCAACACCCCAAGATTATTTTGCCTTTTGTTGTCAGGTTTCCTAATTGGCAGATGACTCACTTCAGGGTGACAAAATGGGGTTGGCTGGCAGAAGGGGCCCCACGAATGAAAACCCTGCAGTCCTTCTCCATGGTGTGTCCCTCAGCTGGGGAATTCAAATTACATCATCGCTGACATGGAAGGAGGAACGTGAGGCCTCTTGGGGCTTCTCACTGGACTGGATTGATTTCACTCAGAGCCAGCACCTGCCCCATGCCCCCCTCCACTCGCTGACACCTTCCCACCTTAAGGCGATGCCTGTCTTGACCCCTCACCCCCTGCAGCTCGATTGTTGGGGCCAGTCCTGACAGTCCCCTTTATCTCATCCCCAAGCGGTTTAGGTTTTAAACCTTCTTGATAGACCCCAATGTGCCAGCCGGGGGGAGCATGGAAGAGAGGTGGCGGGGCTGCCTGTGTGCACCTGCCAGCTAGGCTGTTTCTCCGCAGCAGGGAAGAGGCCACCTGTCTCTGTTATGGGCAGGGGACAGCTGCAGTCACACTGGGGGCGTAGCGATGGACAACCTGTTGGGCTGAGACACATGGTCATCTTGTGAACGGTTGTTCTCTATTTCTAGACCAGATTTCTCTAGCATTCACCCTGCTCAGAAGGTGCAAAACTGTGGAAATCTATGTATGTTTTAATGTTCTGGGTGACAGAAACACTTGAACCAACACGCCTTTCAACAAGAGAGCTTCTTGTAGCTTCAAAGATTTTGGTGTCAGGTGTTCTGAGAGTGACACTGAACAAATGATTGTTTTTCTTATTTTTCTCATTTGAAAAAAAAGGAGGGGATACCTATTTTACTGGGTTGCTTTAGATGCTAACTTGAGTAACCCATGTAAAATGGTCTAGTTTCACGTAAGTCACTGAATAAGTATTATTTTTGTTTTGAACGGCGTGCCTCTGTAACTAAGTAATCCAAAAATAAAATTCAATAAAGTAATAAAATAATAAACCAGAACTGGATCTACTGGACCTCAGGCAGAGATGTAAAGTTTACTCATCCTCATATAGGATAAGAATTTGGATTCTGCCCCAAGACCAAAATATATTTTACCCTTAGGATCGAAATAGACTTTGCTTCAAAACAGTTGAATATTAAACGCTGCATTCCGCCTCTCATTAAGGTCTTTCCCCTCTTCCTTTGCCTTTCTTCTGCTTACCCTCCAGCGCTCCAACCCACTCCAGCAATGGAAATGTGCTAGAGACAAGCTGTTGTTGTTAGCACTTTTGACATACCCCAATGTACAAAAATCCAGAATGAAGACAGCATAGAAATTGGGCAAAAGTCAATGACTCACTGTTAGTAAGGACGCCGGCCACAAGAGCCAGCCACGGCTAAGGAACGCATCCCAAGAATGACAGAGCTTACGTTAACTCCAAAGGGTTGAACTCAGGGACTCTCTCCGAGCCATGTGCTGAATAGTTTCACTGCTAGTTTTTATTGCCTTGGAGTGGAAGGAAGGTATCATATTTGTAGGCCATAGTAATCTGCTCCTTCAGAATTCCTCTGAGGAAAAAGCTTAGCAACAAAAATCACTAGAGTTATCGTGCTATATCTTCTTGATTTAATACTAAGCCATGGAACAGATGAAACCACCTTGGCCTGCCTCCAAGCTCTGCAGACCCATCATTCCCGTACTTTCATTCTTTCTTCCCTTTTTGCAGCCTCTATGCCTCTCTTTTTTCTTTCATTTGCCTCTCCAGTCTGTTGTTGCCAAGTGGGTGACTCCTCCCCCACGCCCGTTCCCATGGTCCCAGTAACCCCCAACAAGAAAAATGCTCATAAAATAATTTAATCAATTCAATCCAAAAGCACTATGCAGAGCTTGCTCTGTGGTTAGCACCAAGCTCTGCCTGATACGTTATTGTAAACAGTGAACCCATAGTTCCCCCAAACAATCAGAGTTCCTCATGTTTCACTCTTGGTTGAGCTGAGATCAGGAGAGAAGTGAAAATACTGCTCTCCATCTTGCTAGAAACAAACCCCACCACATATGAAGACGTCAAGCCAGGTCTTCATTCCCTCAGTTTCTCCTCCAAGAAGCTCCACACTCACCCAACTCTTCCATTGTCACACCCAAGATGTACTGATCCCACAGGTGGTGAGAAATCGTCCCGGCGTGTGCTGCTGAGGAGGACCGCAGAGGAACTGAATGAGACAGAATGCAGCAGCCTCTAAAACCTTTTTTGGTTCCTTTATTTGCTTAGCACTTCCTCTCTTGATTCAGTCTCTCTCTCTCCCTCTCTCTTTTAAGATTTATTCATTTATGCATACAGAGCTGGGGTACAGGCCAGAGGTGCAAGGGGTGAGAGGACTCACCAGACACTAAGTGGGAGCAGAACAGGCTGACTGGAAATACACAGCTGAGGGGAGCAGCGGGGAGACAGGAGAGGTCTGCTGCTCCATGTTGGTCGCCTTTGGGGCCAGGGATTGAACTTGCAATGAAGTGGCTGCTGCTAGCTTACGGTGCTACACCCAAACCCGTTGTGCCATCAGAGGGCCCTCATTTTTTTCTTTTTCCTTTTTTTGTAGGTCAGAATTCAAAAAAATTGGGCTGACCCAGAAAGGCGAGGATTTGAGTTCTGGTAGTATCCGAATAAATTCAAAATTAATTTTGAAAAATGTGAGCACCAGCCATGTGCCAGGATTCATCTCGAATTAATGACAAGGACAGCTTTGTACTTGTGTTTTTCACAATGGGTTTCCATCAGGAACCCCACCTTTATTTTACCTAAGAAGCAAGAGGACGAACAAATTTTCACCAGAGTTAACCGGCACCCAATTCATGTTGCTGTCTCTACTTACTTCATTACTCAGAAATGATGCTTCATTACTCAGAAATGATGCTTCCCTGAGTAGGTTGCAGATTCAATTTAGGCAAGGCAGAGGTGAGTTCACATAGGGATTCTTGAGGCCTATTTGATTTCAGTGGTTCAAATGCAAGCAACTGTGGAGGGTGAGTGGGACATGTACACCCATGCAATGCCTCCAATATTAACATCAAAACAACAACGATCAACTGAAAGTGTGGCGAAAATGAAAGTGGAAGATTTAAGGCACCAGGTGCCTCATCCCGGCTGAGGCCGAGAAGCCCAGAAGTCCTGTACTCTGTAGAACCTGCAGGGCCCACTCCCTCTGCCACCGTGGATTACCCCTTCAGCATCCAGGACCCCCACTATGTGGGTGTTGCCTATGTGGGTGACTGCCAGCAGAATTGTCCAGATGCAGGACGATCATGACAGCGTACTGAAGAGGAGTGCAAAAAGGTGACGACTATTTGCTGGAGAGGCCAGAGACACTGAACTGCTTACAGAGTATATTCAGAAAATGTGCATCATTATGTGACATCATTATAACGTGTCTGCCACAGCAATGGCTAATTTCACATGCTGAAATCTGGCTGTCCTCGGGCTGTCCCTACCGTGTCAACCTCCTTCTGGCAAAGCATTAAGACCCCGCATCTGCTGTATGGACTGGCTGGCATTCTTGGCTAAGCACCTTTGCAGCCCAGAGCCATGGTGCCTTCTCACTTCTTGGTATTCTGGACCCATCCTACACACCACCTGTCTCAGGAGAGGACAGTGGAACTTCACAGGAAAAGTGTAGGGTGTTTCCAGGAATGTCAGGTCATGGCACCCATCACCTGGGCATTTCCTTGCCTAAAGGAAGCTCCTAACCTTCCCTCCCACTTGCTAGGGAACAATTTTTGATGGGCTCCTTTATTTTTTTCCTACTCCTTTGATACATACTCCTGGTAGATGATTAGTTAAGAATAAATCTGAATATAATGTGCCCGAAAAGAGCCACCTGATGTAAGTAAGCTGTAGATGTTTCAGACAAGCACAATTCCTGCCTCATTATGTTGCTTTATAGTAGTTTATGGTGAAAGTGATTCTAAGGTTAACATTTGCCTTTTTTATTGCTTTAACTTCCTCGCTTTGAATGAAATAAAACATTTACAAAAAGGCTTCTGTGAGAAGGAAGCTTGAAAGGAAGTCTAATTATGTCCCTTAGAAACAGCTGATTTTTATCAGTGGTGAGATTCAAGTAGTTTCTCTAAATAATTTGCCAAACAGAACAGAATTCAGAGGCTGTTTGCTACTTACTGTACTCAAGATTTAGTTTCAAAGTGTGTAATCACTGCTTACAACACAGGTTTGGGTTTTGTTTTTTTTTGGGGGGGGGCGGGGTTGATTTGAATAATTCGTTCTCCGTTTCACTGATACATTATATACATACATTTTAATGTGAAGGCGATTCCTACTCTGCATTACTTTCAGCAGCCATTGGATGTCAGTGCTGTTCCAAAAATGTGTTCACTAGAATCCAGGTTTGAAAACTTCCCATCCATGCTATGCCAGTTTTTACAAGTGAAAGCCTTTAGCTCTATCAAAGTGCACAACACTCAATAGAGAAAATATTTCTCTAATCTAAAGCGGTAACTGAGCCAAAATGCTGGAAGGAAAAATACACTTCAGCACTTGGCTTACAGAGTCTGGACTCCCCCTATAGTTTAACGGAATGATTAATGCGAAAATACGAATTGGATTCACAGACCATGGTTCCATATTCTTTCCGTGAGGGCTTTTAATTCCTGGTGCACTATTTTCCAGGGGGTGAGAGCCATTCTTGCAAATAGCTCCTCGCTGATAATGAATGAAAGGAAGGGATGCAGAGAGCACTGAAATCACCCAATGCAACCAGAAAATGGGCAAATGGAAACTCGCGTTCGATACTTTTAATTTGGCTGCGCACGAGAGTGGACAAAAAAAGTAAATTCTAACCAAGCAGCTACTCCGATTTAGCTTCCTGTGAGAAGTCACATTTAAAAACCGCAGTAGCAGGTGGTTTCTGTGTACCGAGCACAGGAGAGGCTGCTCTTCCGGACCCGTCGCCAAGTCACGCTAACAAACCTTCAACCTCCCCTCCAGTCCAAGCACCACGGCCAACTTAAGCAGCTGGCAGCGATTAGTGGGAAAGCAACTCTGCAATTCCTTCCAGGGACTTTTATTGGAAACCAAATGCGTAGTGGGAACTGTGCTTGGTCCCCGAGGACCCGGCGGAACCAGATTCAGTTCCGGACAGGTTAGTGGGTCAGGCCCAGGATGACGGGACGAAGCAAGCGGCCATGGACGCCAGCCGGTCCTGGAGGAGGCGCCACCGAGCCAAGCCAAGGTAAGGGCTGTGACGTGGCCTACAAAAGCTTCCCTAATGCCCAGTAAAAAAAGTAGAGAAAAATCGTCCCAGGTTATCGTGACAGCAGCTGGAGCCCCATCTTGCCGATCTGCGCATGCGTCGCGGCCTAACCCGGAAACACTGCCTCCCGGGAACCCGAAATCCAACAGCGGAGAGCGTAAACTACCTTTCCCATTAAGTAAGGGTCAAAAGCTCCCAGCATCCTCTTTACTTCGGGCGGCCGATCTTTTCCCTTAAAGAATCGGCGAAGGAGGACTTCATCCCCCAGGATGCCTTGGGGCCAGTTAGCTATGCACATGCGCCAAGAGGCGGGCCCGCCTTGCCCTCACGACCCCGCCTCTGTTCTAACCGCCGCCATTTTTTCAGAGACTTTCATCCGGCAGCCGGCGGGGCTTTTTTTCTTAAAGGAGAAGCGACAGCTCAAAAAATTTCCCCCTTCTCCCCGCAAGACTTGGCGACGCTGGGGGAAGAAAAACCACAGACAGGAAAGTGGGGTTGGGGTGGAGGCAGAAGAGCGCCGACGCTTCTGCGGCTTAAGGAAGGACAGAAAGAGCCCTGGTGGCATTATCGGTTCCTTAGGGAGGCAGGTGCGCGCGCAGCCATTCCAGGGTGCGTGCGAGGCGGGGAAAGAGGTGCGTTTTCTTCTGACCAGCCTCCTCGCGAGACCTGCTCCTCCCACTGCCCCTAGTGTGCGTTGAGCTCCGGAGGGGGGCAAAAAAGGTCACTTTGGGATTGTCGCGAGACGCAGCCGTTTAACGGTGAGAACGGGTGCGCGGGGAAGGAAACCTCGCGCGCTCCCTTGGAGCCGTTTCCTGATTGGCTGAAGGAGGGGGTGGGGGAGGGAACCCGGTACGCTGCTGCGTGAGAGCCCGTGAGGGGCGGGGCGGAAGAGTCCTTCCTCCTCTCCGATTGGCCCACTGAGCGACTGTGGCGGGCGCGCGCGCGCGCCGCCAGCGGTAGCGGCCTTGAGTGGCAGGGGGTGGGGGGGGCGCCCTGGGAGCCGGGCGGAGGGGAGGGGGGAAAGAGGAGCGCAGAGTGAGAGTGAGCCGGACGCTCCGGGAGGTGAGGGGGGCGGGGGGAGCAGCGCCGCGGCCGCCGCCGCCTCCGCCTCCACCGCCTGGGACGAGGGGGTGGGGGACGGACGAGCCCCGATGCCGGGGGAGACGGAAGAGCCGAGACCCCCGGAGCAGCAGGACCAGGAAGGGGGAGAGGCGGCGGCGGCCAGGGCGACTCCGGCGGAGCCCCCACCTCAGCCCCCGGAG